TAATAATAATGTTTTAGGTTGTTCCACCGTCTACCGTGACCTTTTTGGCAGGATAGCCTGTCTATCGAAGTTGTACTTTTAAACTTATTCAGTAAAATATAGGCGGACTGTTCCTCCAAAACATACACAGAATGTCTTAAAACAGCTATCTGACGCGCATTTCTGCCAGCACCGCGCTGTTTGGCCGACTCCAGACCGTTTGTATCTGCCAAACTGAGAGTAAAGTCGTATTTTTTACGTTGTCATTAAAAAAATAAAAACAACATTTTCTCGGAAACAGCTGTCGGGGTAGTGTACCTGCTGGTTTTTCCCCCAGTCAAAAAGCCGTGTGAATCCCGTTACTGCTCCCAAAAAAGTCGCAGTGGAATAATCTGCTGTCACCTCGGAATGTACGTGACTTGCGGCAGATTCTAGTACAGAGGCTGCCTCGGATGACCGAAGCACGCACTGAGAGCTCGAGCGAAGCGTACACGTTAGCTGAGATATCCCGAGAGTGCAGGAAGGGGCTGAAACATCACTGCTGCTATATAAAGACGCAGAGCTAAACTTTAAAGAAGTGACCATCAGATTAATAATATCGGTTTGCTAATAAAAGCAACACGTATGCCGATTTTCTGGTGACTGTATCTTACAGCCGTCGAACTGTACAATACCCCTATTTAAACGTGCATTGGTTAAGTTAGTTATCTGTTTAAGCACATTTAAGTAGAGAGAACCAAGAGATTTTGAGTAATTATCAAAAATGAAGAAGAAACCTCTAGGTTCATTTATTTAATGATAAATAAATGATTAATGATAATTTAATCCTTTTTCTCAGAGGAAGGCGTGTAGATACGTAAACACTGCATAATACTATTTAGCTCTGGAAGGATCTAAACTTTAGAGATCGCTATAAGTAGACATTAAGGTCAGGGGAGAAGATAAGGTGTGGTCAGGGGTGGCCAAGGTCACCACAGCAACTCTATTCAACCCACATATAAAATGTAAAAGTTTACCTTCATGAAATGAATGTTTTTGTTTGTTTGTTTGTTTGTTTGTTTGTTTGTTTGTTTGTTTAAAATTACAGACATTGATTTTTTTAACAAAAGGATGTTAGAAAATTATGTTGTCAGTAAAGGTTCTAGAAGAAGAATGTAAGTCAAAATGAGGTTTCATATGCTACCCTCATCTTTATGGTGGAATAACCATGGAAATTTGAGCCAAAATGCACTTTTTGAATAATCCAGGGCATCAGCGTTTGTTTCTGCTCCTCTTCAACATGATCATTGAATTGGTGCCATTTTGCTATTGAAACTATGTAATGATACTGATGCTCAGAGTATGTTTTAGAAGAAAATTATGTTGAACGACAAGATTCCGGCTTTGGGTTGTGACATGTGGAGATGGTGTAAAAATGATTTTTCTGCAGTTTTTAACAGAGCTTAAGATCTGTTTTTCAACCATGAAAATATAAGACACGAGTGACCCGTAAGAATCTGCATGGCAGGCATAACAACAGCTCTTCAAATTCCCTAAATAAGTGAAGGTGCTTTAGTGCTTCCCATATTATGTCCTTTAGGCTACACTGGATGATTCTTTATGAAAGGAAAGGAGGTAATGCTCTCCTAATAAACCGTCAGACAATAAAATTTCATGCCATAAATTGCTGATTTGGTCTAAACCAAACTTTCAGATACAGGCTGTATTAAACCCTTCACTGGACTCTGAACGTCACACTTTTGTGATCCAATCTACATTTTGTCAAGTTATTGCTTTATATGAATATTTATAGTAAATTAAATTAAAAATAAATAAATAAAATCTATAAATTAACATTTTAATAGTAACATGATTTCTTTGCAAGTGGTTATATGACCCTCATGAGAAAACATGGTGAGAATTTGTGGAGGGAATCATCTAAGACGTTCTTTTTGTAGTCCCTTTTAAGGACATTGTAGTTTCACCTTAAGAGACCCACATTAAAGATCAAGGAGCCAGTGTAAGGGCAATTGGATTCTCTTCACATAAATCCTTATAAATGCTCCTTAACACATGTTCTTGATCACATGATGTTAATCATGGCAATTGCTTTGGACTATTCCATTACAGCCATTTCATTGATAATGATAACTGTGTGTACATATGTTAGGTTTAAAACTTTAAATTACATTTTTTTTAAAAACCTAAGACCAAATTAACTGAACAAAAACTGAACAGACAAACTATCAAATTCTTAGCTCCTGGAGACACAGGGTGTTTGGTTTGTTGTGGTTCATCATGGTTCTGGTCACACAGTAACATGTGTTAACAAGCATCTGCAGAATGCAAATCTACAGTACTGGACAAAATGACTAGTTTCACCTCATTTCTTTATTTTTTGCTAGGAAAATGGAAGAAGTCAAA